AATGTATGAGCATGTAAGGGGAAAACTAAAGCATGACATAAGTTTGAACTGGAACTAAAAAAACAATTTACCTCATCTCAACTCAACTCAATCTCAACTCATTTCAATATAAAGCAGTGATAAAAATGCAATATAAATAAAAGCTTTTAAAAATAGTAGATAGAAACTCCATGTATTGAAAAATACAATATAACTCAGTTTGTATGTAAAAAATACAAAATAAACTCTGTTTGAATGATTCTCTAAAAGACAGCCATCACTTTGAGCTAAGTGTTGATACAGTGTCTCGTCCACGCTGCCAGAACTATCCTATACCTTGTCGGGGTATAGAAATCCTCAACTAAGTGGATCCACTAGTTTATGCTTAAAAGCAATAATGAATAATCTAAAAAGTATGACCCTTTCTATCCACCTTGGCTACATGGTTTATGGGTTGTGAGTTTTTTAAACTCTCCCCATATCGGTGCTCAATAATACTCCCAAAATATAACATAGCTCATATGCTTTAAAGAAAACATTTCCTCATCCTCAAATTTGAGATTATTACTCAAAAGATTTCTTTAAAAAGAGATAATGCTCAAAACTCCTCATAACTCATTTGGAAATCTCAGTTTCCTCCTCTTTTAAAATGAGAAAACATTTACTCTTGGGAACACCCATATATTCATTTTGAAAAAAATGAACTCAACTTTACTCATCCTCATACTCAAGTACTCAAGTCTTAAAATAAGTTTTTAAACAATGTAAAAGACTTCTCAAAAAGACCCAGAAGAACTCTCAAAATTTAACTCTTAACTCTACCTTGAATATGAATTACAACTTCAAGGTTATATAATGATTTAAAACACCCAAATCACCCAAACCCAATTCATTCTCTCAAATTCTCAAAAGAAGTTCAAGCTCCTCCTCTCAAATATTTCTCTCTCTAGAAGTTGAAGAAGAAAGCTAAGGTTTCAAGATCAAGCCTCTAAATCCTCCATTGCTTCCAAGCTTTTGACATCAAGTTATGATAGTTTTCATCTATGGAGCCCTTTCCTCCATGGATTTACAAAAGTCTCCAATTTTGAAGTTAGAAATCTCCAATTAAAGTAATTGCATGTTTTTAAGTTGATTTCCCATGAACCCATGCATAACCTATGTTTTCTAAGCTATGTTGTCATAATGTGGTATTGAATTATGAAAGATGAATTTATGAAAATATGCATGTCTTCTCTTTATGAAATAGCTTTAAATGAATTTGATGATGCTTTGACTTTGAAGACATAATAAAGCTTATAAATTATTGAAAACAAAGCATGTTCGTGAAAGTATGTTTATGACTCAAGAAAGCTTATAGATGAGATTGTATATATGCTCTATGAAGCTTGGCCACATGACATGAATGACATCTAGATTTTCCCTCAATGCTTTTCGAGCTATTTTCCTTAATTAGGTCTTGATTAGTATGGTATCGGGATATGCCATCAATGATTAGAGACCAAGATTTCAAGACTATTTGTATTAGTATTAGGGGCATCTCTAGCAAGAAATGAATGAATATAGGCCTTAAAAGCTATTATGAAAAGATCATGGATGGTGAAATGTTTTCTCACGCATGGTCTAAGGAGAAATCATATGATAAGGCATGTGGAGACTACCCATGTCTCGTAATGATAAGATAAGTCAAGACTTAATAACTATTATGTGGGATTTATTCTTAACAACGAGAGGATATTGAGATGGAAGCTCCGTCGTGTTGAGGCCGAGTTTCTAGTAGCAATCTCCTTATCCCTTACCTAAGTGCCCCCATACGATGATGGTCTAGATAGAAATTAGCTAGTGGATCACTTTAGATCAACCATGGTCCTACCTTGGCAAGTAGGACAACCCTTTTCGATGTGGGAGACACTGGGGGATCATGTTATAGCTCACATGATCTTTATGTCGGTTAAGGCTAAGTCCCACAATAATGAACGAAGGTTACTTCAAGAAGTATCTCACATGTGTTCAAAGATTATTTTACTTGCATTAACCATGTTTTACAACTCATGTTTTCTAACTCCCTTTATCTTATGTTTTAACTTAGTGTTTGCATATCATGAAAATGTCATTTTTAGCTTGATTTCATACTTTTATGCATGGCTATCATACTTAGTGTATTTTTGTACTAACGCATACTCTTGCCTACATTTCTTATCATAAAATGTAGGGTCTGACGATTCTGATTCGCACCTCAGTGGCTATGATCTTTTAGTAGTTGAAGAATTAAGATTGGTGAGGCCCTATGTTTCGAGGACCAAGCCTTTATTTCATTATGTCTTTTAAATTTAGTTTTAAACTTGATGTACTAGTTACGTCTCGAGTTCTCTTTTGTACTAGATGACTTGTGACATTGTTAAACTTTCGCTTCGTTTTATAAAACTCTATGTTTACAATGTTCTTTTAAATCTCTTGATTTATATTATCTTGACTATGTGTGCTAAGTGGTTTGTCTGGGGTTTATCGGGGTCGTGTGTGCCATGTCACGTCTAGGGTATACCCTTGGATCGTGACTAACTTGGTAATTAGAGCACAAGTTTTAGAAAGGTCCTAGGATATCTCATAAGTGTGAAGCGCGCCACATTTATAAATGAGAGACTATTAGATGTTTAGGAAGTTCCACTTCTTTCGTTACTCTAAAGTCGTGCAATAGAGTGTAACTCTAGGTGTCTTCCTCTCCTAACCCCTATTTATGATTTTTCAGAATATGCCTCCATGAAGGAATCCTGTGAGAAGGAATAGGAATGTTCGTGAAAATGTGAGACAAGAGGTTCCCCAAGTGCCGATCAACCCTTTGGCCGAGCAAGTGACTAATGATGAGTTTTCACTACACCATTTTAGGGTTCCCCAAGTGCCGATCAACCCTTTGGCCGAGCAAGTGACTAATGATGAGTTTTCACTACACCATTTTAGGCCTACGACCACCCCAGTAAAGTGTAGCCTAAACTAGCAAAAAGTGTGGCCTTTGATAAAAGGCTACACTTTTGGACTTTAAGCAACACTTTTCTAGGTGTGCCCGAAAGTAGCGTTACCTTAGAGTTTAGGCAACACTTGAAGTGTAGCCTTATCATCTACACTTAAAAGCGTAGCCTAAAAGGCAAAATGGCAGTGCTTTTATGTACCTCAAATAGCAACATTTCTATCTCATACAACTACACTTTTAAGCGTGGCCTTAGCTTCCTTATTGCCCACGATTTGTAAGTGTTGCCTTTTCTATCTAATGTATGACAACACTTTGAAGTGTAGTACATGCCCATGTGCATACCACAATTTACAGTCCTATGGCTACACTTTTAAGTGTGGTCATATCATTTTGGCTATAAAATATTTATATGCCACAATTTCTAATTAAAAAACACAAATATTGTTTTGCAATAAATAATCTCAAGCATTAAATTGGCTCATAAGTAATTCAAATATATATATTTGCAATAAACTTCAAAAGATAGTACGTCTTGTGTACTTACACATATTTATAAAGCAATATTCTAAATGTGTACACAATTGTTCAAAAAGTACTCTTACAATAGTTCAATTTTATATTCTAGCAAAGAATATATTTCACAAAAATCAAACATAATGTATTCAAACTTTTACAATAGTTCAAAAAACTCTTCATCATCCACTTCAATTGAGATCAAATTGACTTGTAGCGACCCTTCAAATTGGATCACCTCCATTTCCCTACACATTTAGAATTTACGACAAATCAGATTGCAACAATCATAGAAGAGGCAAAGAGTTCCAAATTCCACATTGCACAAAAGTTCCAGAATGCAGACTGCAAATCTTTTGAGTTCAAAATTGCAGATTTCAATTCTAGATTGCAGATTTCAATTCCAGTTTCTAGATTTCAATTCCAGTTTGAAGATTTATTGAGCTCCAGGTTGCAGATTACAGTTCCAAGTTGCAGATTACAGTTCCAGTTTGTAGATTTATTGAGTTCTAGATTGCATATTACAGTTTAGATATACGGGAAAGTCGCCAAAAATAGAAAAGCATGTGAAATACAGAAGCTGAAGTTATTCACATGCATCAAGTTTTCAATGAGTTTATAAGAAGCTTGAGACCCCATCTGTTATTGGAATTTCAAGTGTAGCTAGCTAGTTATCTACAAGTAGTGATCATCTTATCAATATTCTTCGAATATGCTAAATTTTGGAAGTAGCTCCAAGCCTTCCACTATAACAGCTTGCCTGAATAAAACAATGGCAACAAGCTTATAACAACATCCTAGTGTGAACAAAATAGACTACTAGATCAAGAAAGCGCCAAACAAAATTTTCGTGTAGTTGATCCATCTTTACAGCTCCCAAAAGCTCACGTGCAAAGCAGCTGACAGCATATACATGCTATCAAGTAGAAATTCTTGTTCTGTCCTTTAATTATTTACCTTAGAATTCTATGAGTTATTTATCTTGTTCTCTTCATAAGAATGTTGTTTTATCAACATATTGACATAATTAAAACAGAGAAAAGTACCAGAAAGGTTCCAGATTTCATATTTCAGTTCCAAATTCCAGATTTCTAGTGTGCAACTTTAACAGAAAAGTGTTCAACTTTAACAAAAAACTGTCTATCAAACTGCACCTCCGGATCTTATCCCGACCATTCTTGTGACTCAAATTCACTAGCAGCCCATGGTTTCTAATCAAGTATTAAAATTAAGATTTTCCAAAGCTAAGATTGTAAGTAACGCTACCAAAAGCTAAAATTTTATTTCAATAAAAGAAATTATATGAAAATAATTACTATATAATTTTTTTTAGAAAAAAAACTGGTGCATACAACATGAAAACAAAACAGATGATACATATGCTGATGTAATACACATATCCATAAACACAGGTAGACGTTGGGAAGGAAAGAGTTATAATTAGTCTAGATACAAAATTAAAATTAATATTTTTTCTATAAAAAAATGTCATCCCCTATTAGAAACCTCTCTAGTGATTGTGACCAAGAATTGAAATTTTTTTGACATCTCCTCACACTCTCGCTTGCAATAGAAGAAGACGGAGGACGAGGACGAGGACGAGGAGAAGGAGAAGGCATACCTGAAACAAGACAGTGGAGTCACACTCTCCGCAATATAAAAATTACATGTCTGAAGAAAACTCACCACTAATCCTCTGTTTCTATACAAAGTGTTAAGAAGGCAAGCATAATATAATTTTAAGTGCTCATGATGTTTAGTCTAGCTCAAAAACTTGATCAACTCATAGATTTATTAGTTTAAAAGGCCCGTAGAAAATTTTAAATTTTCTAAAAAAATCAAATCAATCAAGAAAAGGGATTCAAAACTCCTCAAGAAATTAGTTTAGTTATAACTAGTAAAACATGCCAAATAGATGTACCAATAGACAAGTACTACAACTAAATTCAAAGCACATATTTCATGAACTTTAATTACAATACTCATCCAAATATAACAATAGTTCAATACCAACCGAGAACAAAGAACAAAAGTTAGAAAAGTACATGAATATAAGCTCCAAAAAAGGTACAGAAAGAAAACATGTGATATAGCAATTATATTTTTTTCGTAAATTTCATACGACTCAAATCAAAGAAAAACATATGAACATTGAAACAATGTCTGAACACATACGGTCTGATGATTGGCACTACCAAAATAACATCTGGGATAAAATAGAGGGAAAAAACCAAGGACACAGTTAACAAAGGGGAACGTAATAACTAAGTAGAAGATTGGGAACGTGTTTTCCATTACCTTGGAAGTCACAAATGCTTCTTGGTTGTACTAGAAATGATACCCAAAATAAATAATGTAAAACGTTTCATGTCCCCCAAATTTTTAAAATTTTGTGTAATGATGTCCATATGTTGTTGAGCTATGTGCAAAACAATTAAAATAAAATAAGGCATCTGATAGGTGTAGGTAAAGTTTCTGAGATTGGAATGTCAACGATTTTGTAATATCCATATGTCCTTTTAACACATCTAAAATGTACATAAGAGTAATGAATATTCGAGCAAAAGCATTGTTCAAGAAGGATTCCTAGTATAGGCAAACCACATGAATTAACACTGTTCATGTTCATTTGAAATTGTAAGAGGCAGACAAATAAGTACCACTTATGATCCGCAAACGTTCATGTGGGTCATCGTCTCCATAAAATCATATTCTTGCATTGCTTGGATGGTAAAATTTTCTGTGAAACTCCTGCAAATATATAGAACAGACAACACCAGTCACACTAAGAGGCTAAGGAATCAACTCTTAGTGGCAGACATACATGTTAGTTAATTAGTCACGACTACTCTCCCTTTTGCGAGCATTACCAAGTAATATGTGTAGCTTGAAATAAATTAAGAAATATTGATGCATCAGTAACCTGTAACCTATACAGTAGATATGCATAGTTTCAAATTGGAGATGTCTCGTTGTGCATCTTCTTTTATTTTTGATTCTTCAATGCAACTATATATATGGCTCAGTTACAAAACAATATATTTTTCCAAAATGTAACAACATCGAATATAAGGACTTAACTCATCAAATAATTTAACTTAACATTTATAGATGAACACAAAAGATACACCAAAATAAATAATATCAACTTTGGTGAAAGTCACCATCAGAACCTTCCAGGAAAACCCTTGGTTGTCGAAATCTAATGGAAGGTTAATGTCTTAAAAATGATCAGAAGGAATGGACACGAGTGAAGAGGTGATGTGCCATCAAATCAGCTACCAGAAAGAGAAAGAGAAAGAGAGGTAAGACTTTGGCCAACAAGTAGCCTAAGACCGTTTAGTTGACAAAATAATAGCAAGAATACATTCTGCCTAAGATAAAATTTTGTCATATGCTGGTAGGTTGCAAATTAAAAGAGGCTTATCTAATCTGGAACTCTGTCAAGCTCCCTTAACATAGATTTATTACTTGGTTGGCATGTCAATGACAACTACTCACTTGTGAGAGATTGCAGAAAATGAATATTTCAATGGAGGATCGAAAGTGTTATGTATGTGATGAGAGTGTGCTGGAAACACAACATCACTTGTTTACTGAATGCAGTTGGAGTACAAGTGTGAAAACTTCATTGTTTACATGGTTAGGGGTTCAATTAGTTGTCATAGGTGTTTCTAAAACAATTAAATGGATCAAAAGGAGAAGGTGGATGATGACAGTTAACTAGATAAGATATGATTTATCTGCCACCACAAGTTAGTAGCTTAAGTTTTCTGTTCGCAGTTGAAAATAAAGATACACTTATAAGTTATAATACATCAATGGAGCATCTGTATACATAAAGCAAGTAATACCACCACAAAAAACTCTGGCCCACAACTTTCACTAACATCCAAATTCAACTAAACACCATCACAACAAGCATGACAAGAAACATTGGGAAATACTACGAAACGACAATGGGAAGAATCCAAGAATTGACATAATCATGTTATGAAGAAAGATTAGCATTGTATGATTGTAATAACAAAACCTTGTGAATGCTTTGAAGTTCTTTTTAATGAGTAATGTAAATATTTTGAAGTTCGCAATCCTTGAACAACAAGCAAAACTAATGGGAAAGAGACTACCAACCTTAAATTCCTCAAAAGAAAGGCTTGAAATTACTCGTGGGTTACCACCATTGTCAACACCATAGGTATTATCAGGAAAAAACGGATGTAGAAGACATAAGTCACTACCGAAATAAACCATAGTCTCGTAAAATATAGCACTACTTCTATTTTGTGGAAGAAACCCATGAATTGAGCTATTTAATAAAGAAACCTCTGAAATGTATTGACAACATCAATTACAAATTCGAGGAGCACCACTAGTACCCGCAGGAGGATCCTGTTGTAACCTCTTGAAATCCCTCATCAGTCTCTTCCTTGAAAGATTGACATTTTAACTGCCTGCACATTACCAAGACAGAATCAACACAACCAAACATTTAATAGGAAGCATAACTTTCTTCGCTTGTAATAATAAAGAGGAGCTTCACTGAAAGTAAAACATCAAGCAAAAGAAAGACATTAATGAGTATTCCCTTCATGTTTAATCAAATTGATCATAAATTAGTAAGCTCAAAATCCAGCATACTACACTATGAAAACTGAATCGGACTAATTATTGAGATATTCACTAAGAATGTAAAAGGTAAAAATCCTTCCAAACACTAATTCATCCTTATTTTGCGATGAAGCTTGTCACGATGAATACGAACATAAGAAAGTGAAATTCAAACGCTTTTTTTTTGAATTCGTAAGATCCAATTAGAATTTCAAAACTGCATACACAATAAAAAACAGAAACGATGTTCTGTCGCGAAGAAATTCAATTTAATTCACAGAATTACCTAATTCAATTGAAATACTTCCAGCATGGTTAGAATTTTCTTCTTGTTAAAACCAGACAGATCATTGAGAAGCTAAAGAGGACAAGAGAAATAATGCGTAGAAACAATCACTCCACAACCTAGAAAGTATAGCTCTTTACACAAATCAACCCTAAGCAGTCCATTTATACGTATTTAGTGATTAATGCTTAGGGTAATACAACTACGAGCAAAAATCAACCAAAATCGTATCAACAACACAAGAATATCAAAACCCTAAAGCTAAAATTTAGACTATAAAAGATAGAATTTCTAACCAGATAAACCCTATTCCAACAAAATCCTTTCAACAAGAAATAATGAAATCTTGTTCTTCAGCAAGTAGCTCTTCAACTCTCGTGAGATCTGTGAGAAATTTTGACGAAAATCGTGTTCTTCATACTTGGCTTGGAGAGAAAATCGCATTCATCAAATTGACAGAAATATTTTCTGATTTGGGGGAAAAGGAAGCCTTAATGTATTATGAGTTACCTGATAATCGTGTTCTTCAGTGTGTTCTTTGGCGTGTTATTCAGAAAAGCCTTGCAGCGTGTTCTCAATTTGGGGAAAAGAAATTTTGATGTTTTATTAATTTTTTTTTTGCCCAATAATAAAGAGAGGGAGAGTTAAAAATGTTGGAGGGAATATAATATTTTAGTGAAAATTTTAGGCCACACTTATAATGTGTTGTTTTTTCAATTATAAAAATAGCACACTTTAAAAGTGTGGCCATATATGTAAATAGGTGTTGTCAATTATATCATATTGTAACAACATTTATAAAGTGTAGCTTATACCTTTAAAGAGTACATTTTTAAGTGTTGTCAATATTATTGTAGCTAAAAGTTAAAAACTTTGGCTACGCTTTAAAAGTGTTCCCAAAACTACTTTGGGCTACACTTTAAAAACGTAGTCTAGAATTAGTGTGGCTGTAGACCTAAAATGGTGTAGTGTTTGAGCCGCATTTCATGCATTGGCCCGAGCTATGATGGATCAAGCAAATAGAGAGGTTGTGGCTCCCGTGAACCCAAAGGTGGGTACGGCGGCAACAAGGGTGAGACACTTTATTAGAATGAATCCTCCAAAATTTCATGGGTATAACTTTGTGGAAGATCCTTAAGAGTTCATTAATGAGGTGTATAATGTGTTAATGATAATGGAAGTGATGTCGGTAGAAAAGGCGGAATTGGCCGCTTATCAACTTAAGGGTGTTGCTCAAGTTTGGTTAAACCAATGGAAAGAAGAAAGGGTGGTCGATGAGGGTCCTCTTGATTGGCAGAAATTTGAGGTTGTTTTTCATGATAGGTTCTTCCTCCTTGAGATGAGTGATTTCATATATCAGGACACTTCATCCAATACTAAGTGCCAATGATCATAAAGTAGTAATATAACCCAACTAAGTGATTTGGGGTCGAGTCCCAAGGGAGTGGTTCATAATTGAGAATCAATAGGCAAGTAAGAATATGCTCAAGTCAATCATAGCTAAAAACATTTACGAATAAAAACATGGTTCAAATTAAGGGTGACACAAGTGTCAAATATTAGAGGGATTTGGTTTCAATTATCAACTAAAACAGCAAATAACACGAAAATATCAAGTATAGAGACAGGTTTTTGGGATGTGATTGGATTATGGGCTAAGGTAGGCAATCGGGTAATTGCAATTAATAGTGAATAGTTGTAAATCAGTATATAAGCTAGACTTTAATGGGGGTAAACTTTCTCTCAAAAAATTTATCCCGAATCAAATTGGTTTCTCTCGAACACCAATAAGAAGCAATTAAGAACAACATTCGCTTTAGTCCATTCACTCTCTCGAACTGAATGTGTGGAAAAGGGTTTAGGGTTCACTCTCTTGAGTTGAACCCATGAAAACCCAATACCCACAGACCATCGTTTCAGCAATTCTGGTTTTAAAACCTCTCTCTCGAACAAGCCAAAAATATGAAGTTAGGATTGTATTTGCAACTGCAACCCATTAATTTCAACCATAATTACTGAACGAAATCACTTTTAAACAGCATTTAAACAATCAATTAACAATACACAGCAGCTAAATCAACCCATAATCACATAATCACACTCTAAGAATTAGGGTTTTAGCTAGACATAGTAGAAAGGTGAAAATCGTTACCAAGTTGTGTTTCCATCAACTGGGTAGAATTGATATAGTTTTTACAAAGGTCTAATATGAAGAATCTTCAACACCCACTTCAAATTTCTTAGAAATTGAAATCTTCAAATCTTCAAAGCTAAGGAGAAAATGTCTCTGAAACTCAGTTCTAAGCTCTCTAACTTGAAAACTTAATAATCTCAATAATAAAAATGAACTGCATCCTAAACAAAGAATTTAAAAACGTATTTATAGTCGCCCAAAAATGTGCTGCGAATGACCATTCGGCGCAATAAGTCGGGATCGCCGATCCACTCGGCGATCCACCCTTTGGTCCATTCCATCGTCTTTTTGCTTTGGCCTTCAGCTTCTTCAAGTTCTAAAACTTTGGGCGATATGACACTGCATCGCGGAATCGTTCGGCGACTCACCGACTGTTCATTTCTATCACCAACTTGAATTTCTCCTTCAGGGCTTGGCACACTACAACATTAGGTGAGACCATGGCCATTCGGCGACTCACCCAATGGGTTAGGCGATCCTCAGGCTTTCTTTTCTTCGTTCTTTCAGTTGCTTTGTTCCTTTTTGCTCAATAGTGTCCATGTTGTGTTCCTCAATCCAAATACCTGAAATTCAAGGATTGACATCAGTTATTGGCACAACATATGCGTTTGAGGACACTAAATCTATTAAAAATAAAGCCCTAAATGAGTCCAAAATCGTGCACTCATCAACACCCCCAACTTAAACTTTTGCTTGTCCTCGAGTAAAACTCAAGTTCAGCAGTTCAAAAAGGATGTCTCAAATAGTGCTACGCAAGACTCAATCATGAATGCACACAAAAAGACTCAACTTACTCATGCAAGGATCAAATTGTGCACTCAAAGATTCAAGTTGTGACTTACCATTATCAAAGAATCTCAAGCTCACAATACTTGCTTCAAATACAAGTTCAAGCTCAACAAAGGTACTCAAATGCCCTCACACAAAGAATGATTCCATATTCACACACAACGCTTCACAATTTAAAGCTCTAGAATCAAATGCAACGCTTACACTCACAAAGATGAACACAATGCATGATTTCACTCATAGGTTTGCCCGTATTTTCCAATCAACACTTGCTTCAGCTCACTCAAGATCAAAAATGTCTTTTAAAGGCTTGTAATGGGGCTGAGTGTAAAGGTATGGTTTTTCAAGCTCAAAAGTCACCCATTCTTCACCTTCCATGGATTGCTTGGACACCCCATTTTCTTTACACCTTCACAACTTTATTTCACAACTTTTTCATTTTTTTATTTCATTCTTGTTTTCTTTTTTTTTATATGGAGGGGTTCCATTTTTCTCAAACCTATGGGTCAAAGGGGACTTTCTTGCACTTCTTGATTTACCTTCTCTTTTCACCACACCCCCAATTTAGGCTTTTGGCCTAAGTTGGCTATTCACACAAACCACAAATCATGAGGATTATGGGTAATGGGTCAAGAAAGGTCACATTTTTATCAAGTTTCTTCCAAGAAAAGGCTAAGGCTCAAATGGGTGTTCAAACGGGGTTCACACACTCACAAGGTAGGCCACAAAAGAGGTATAATGTCAAATTGGTTCACACTCTTCAAAGTTGCCTAAGATCATATCAAGAGATTGCATCACTTAGTCAACCGGACCAACAGGGCAAATTCTAGGTGTCATCACACATGGTTCACGGTAAGATAATCACACAAAACATAGACACCAATGTCAAACAAGACTCCACACTTTCGCTAGTGTCCAATGTTCATTACAAGAGACTCAATTTGATACTTGGCTAGTCACAACGAGATGCAAAGAGTTTACATATTGTCTATGCAACTTCATTTAGCCACATCGTAGCCGCACATGCATTTTTATTCGATTATGAGTACTATTCAAGTCATCGGTATTGATCAAGACTGATACTCAAATTTGCAAGAGAACAACCACATTCAAACACAAACAAGGGGTGGTACATTTTTTTTGGAAGGGTCCAAAAATCATTTACAATTAAAAACAAGGAGCCACAAGCTTAATCATCCACAAAAATAGTGTAACACACAATTATAGCTTAAAACCGAAATATATACACAAAACAAGAGAGTGAATAAAGGTCACAAAAGGTGGGTCTCACCCTACCACAAATAAAATCATTTGTCCTCTAATGCAAACAAAATAATCTAAAAGTCAAACTAAAGTAAGACAAAGAAGGAGGTAAAGAAGGGGTCCTATCTAGACAGTCGCTCCATCTGTCTAGGCATCAGTGCCCGGTGCATCAATCTGAACTTGGGCATCAATGTCCGAAATCACCTCAGAAGGACCAACAGTTGCACTAGGATCAGCCAAGGGTGTATCCACCAAAGAAGCTTGCAAAGCTGCATCTACCATGGCCTCCTCGATCTCAGTAAGTCCCTCATACGAAGCTTCCTCACCCACCTCAAGCATCTCCTCATCAGTCTCCACCTCAGACTCCGGATCAGCTGTCTCCTCCACTCTAACCACATCTCTGGTGGTAGCCAGAGGCATATCTGTCACATCTAGGATCTTTACTGTCACAAAAATCATGGACATGTCGGTGGACTTCAGTTGATCCACATCACTTATCAACACAACAATAGCGGCCTTTAAAGTCGTCACTTTCTCAGTAGCCCCTTGGCCACGCTCACACACCCATATCCTAGCCGCAAGAGCATCAATGGTAGCACTCAATGGTGTCACAGCATCAGTCAGGGCACTCTGAATCACGCTCAGAATTGAGGCCTCGAGTCTGGCAGCTTGACGATCGGCAGAATGGGCAAGCTACCCCATCCAGAGTAATGAAGCCTGGGTGAGCGGGGTCCGGGAAACAGTAGAAGTAGCAGATCTAGGAGGCAGTGCAGCAACAGAAGAACCTGGAGTGTTAGAAGGAGCAGCAGTAGAGGTACCTGAAGTCTCAGGGACCGGAGTAGGCAAAGATGCCTCTACAGGTAGTGAGTCTGTGTCCACATTCGGGGAAGAGTCCACCGGGGCTGCCTTCTTCTTCTCAGCTTTATCCTTTAAATATTCTGCCTCAATCCTCCGGATATCAGTAGAGAATGTGGGAATCACTTTCACATCCTTCTTCGCATCTCTAGGAACTCGAGCCTGTCTACACAACTCGGTGATCAATACCGGAAAGGGAAGTGAGGTATGGAGCTGCTTGGCCCGCATGAGCATTTTCTTTGCCATGATCATCCCCAAGCTTAGACTTGACCCCTTAATGAGCTAGCCTAAACAGGCTGCTTTGGTGTGCAGAAGAATAGACTCATTTTGGGAGGGCATGATCGTGCTGCTGATGAAGCTAAACCAATACCTCATTGCCACATTGAGGTCTTTCTTTTCAATAGATTCTCCAAACTCAAGCCACTTGGGAGTGCCATCTGATATCAACGGAGCCAGCTACTTCTTCATGTTCTCCAGAGTCGTCGTCCTAATCTTGTGGAGACATACATTCTCAAGCCTCGT